TATTGTTATTGTGCTTCTCATACCTATAGTCCTCCCAAATTTTGTTTATATCGGTTTATTTTTTAATAAGTGTAAACATCATTTAAGCTATGGTACATGTGTTAATTTTGTATTTACCCTCATCATGCTATATCGAGAAGACATTAGATTCAATAATCTGTAACATGCTCAAATTTTCAAAATTAATTGCCAATGCTGTTTGAAACAAACTCACAGTTATTATTATGATATCTATTATTCTCATTTTGTACTTCGAGTATTTTTGACTTTATACCGTAAATGTGGACAAATTTCTCTGGTTAATTTTGTTTTAATTTTAACTTTTATTTATATTTTAAGTAAATCAGATGCAATATTGTGACAAATGCTGAGAATTCCATTCTGTAATATAAGTACTGTTTTTGGAATAAAGTACATTATTATTAACACTTATGTGAACAAGTTGGCAGAAGAAGCATCAAAGAAAGAACTTCAGGTGAACATAGAGAAAACAGAGGCGATTAGGATTCCTGGGCAACACCACCAACAGCAACAACAACAACAGGCAACAATCAGCATAGATAGAAGGAACCTGAAAGAAACAACCTCTTTTACCTACCTGGGAAGCATCATTTCAACTACACGCGGACGGAACTGACGAGGATATCAAAGCACGGATCGGGAAAACAAGGCAAGCTTTCATCACTCTCAAGTCTGTGTGGAGGACAACAGCACTCAGCATGAAACTGAAAATAAGATCCTGATTTTCAACTCCAATGTGAAGTCAGTGCTACTCAACATACGGATCAGAGACTCGGCCAGTGCGTCCTAAAGAGCATCTCAAACAAACTACAGACCTTCATCAACAGATGTCTTCGCTCAATACTCAAGATCAGATGGCCGGCCAGAAAAGATCGGCAATAAGGAGGGATCTGTGGGAGCGAACCAATACAGCAGGAACCGATTGTAAAACAAATAGGCAGGAAGAAATGGAGATGGATTGGCCATACTCTGAGGAAACCATCAAGTAACATCACTAGGCAGGCCATTGCTCGAGTGGAACTCGAAATGGAAGCGGCGAGTTGGTCGTCCAAGGGTGACTTGGAGGAGGTGATGTGAAGAGGAGATGAAAACGTGTGGGCAGACTTGGAGCCAGGTGAAGACTCTAGCAGAGAGTCGAACGCAATGGAGACGCGTGGCTGAAGCCCTATGTTCCTGTAGGAATTAAAGGAAACAATAACATAATAATATGCGAACTTGTTCTGATCGCTTGTATTATAACCCAACAGCTTGAATTTTTGAAAAAGCGCTAAGGTTTTGGTGTTTCATAATTACAATTTATAACTACACCGATCATGCCCATAAAAACGGCATGCATTTCTTGTGAACTCACCTGTTTATGCGGAAAAGAAATTATTCTATTTATTTGTAGCATGATGGAGGGCGTATAACGTCGGTTAAACATGCGATTTTGATACGTTAGTAGGTGAAAAACAGTGGGTAAAATGCAATGCATGCACCCACTCTTCTCATATAAGCCATCTTCTTACTATTTATTCGAAGCTGACACCTATTTCTTTCTTTATGTTCATGTCTCCATGGGACTGATTACGCAATTTTCATACTCTGTTGTTTATTTGGTTTGGCCACATGTGAAAAAGCAATGCTGTCCTCTTATTTCTAAGCATATATGTGTACACAGAAAAGTCCTCCTAGGTTTATCCCTTGAGAATCATATTTTGTGCAGTGTGCCTCCATCAACACAGGTAGACGAATGAGTCATTGAGGGCGGAGTGGCTAAATTCACCGACTTCTTTAGGTCCCAGGCACCTATAGTCGTACGTGCTTTTTGGAGGGCCTTGTGGGCCACCTAACCGGGTGACGAGGCTGCTCTTGACACCGCTGCAAATATAGAAGGGAGAATATAACCCTAATAGTTCTTTGAGAATGTATTGACTAATTGTGGAATGAGTGTACAGGTACACAATGACATAACCCAAATGTCTGCAATCTGATCTAGTCAGTGCAGATAAGTAAGTTGGCCGCCGAGTGTGAAGTGGCTGGGATTCAACTGAATGGTGGGACTTCTTTGATTCTCGCAATAGAGAAATTTTACGCAGTTCACCGGGGATATAAACATTTGCAGCTAGTACGCTTACAGTGTACCACAGTCACATAACGCGCACGTCAATATGCCATATAGGAAAATCAGAGTTTCTATCGATCTAGACAGCATATTATATAATTCTAGTAAAAATGATCTACAAACAAACATTCACCAGGTGAAATTTCAACCAACTTCCAAGTGAGTTCGCGTGGACTCAACATTCATATGATTAACATGCCGCTTTACAGCCACTATCACATCCAACATAACTGTACAGGAAAATCGGGCATCGCAGTTTGCACTCGTTTTGAGATGTGAACCACATTACTGGTATGGCAAATGTAATAAAAGTCAAACGGGTTCACTCAGTTACGCACTAACAGTATCATTATCTGTTAGCAGTTTTGATATCAAGTCATAAAACGGGAATAATAATTTGTTAGTGGTCTGAGGAACCAACCTATTAAAAATAGATGCGCGCTTCCTAAAGTTACATAAAATCGTCGCACCACCGCGAAACGATACCAGCAAACGCTTATTGGTGTTGTAAGGACAACCGATCTCTTAAGGCAGATAGTATACTGACTAGGTTTGTGAGATGTCGCAAAATATGCATTTGTATATCCTCAGTGTTGGTTGACGAAAGGTGACTGGTGCTTAAGACCGTCTATGCAGTCGGTTACTGTAATGACAGTATGCTACCTGTGGCCTGCGAATATTATAGGACATTTTCCACAGATATTCAGTGGGCTTCAGGACCTGCTGATGATTATGGAACGCTTCACATGATGGATAGACGCGCAAAGACTGTAAATGATGCAGCGATCAGACACACAGTTGCAGACCATGATGTACCAAAAGCTGGATCAGTGAGTTATTATCCAGCTTTTGAAAGTGAAGAATTTGCATTCCGCTTGCAACAGCCAGGTATCGAGAAGGTGAGATCAATGGTCTGACTATGGTTGTTCTCAAGGGGAGGTAACTGGAAGGCTGAGCTCCTACTGATTATACTAGTACACCGCGCTCCCTTTCCAAGAGATAACAAAGAGGTCATCGTCTCAGTTGCTTTCGGTAAGTAATCCATGACTGTCAATATATAGCAACATGTGGCCGCACCACATACAGTGAAGTGGTGGCAAACGGAATCAGAAGTCAAAGGTGTAAAACATAAACATAAGATCGTGCTCAGAACTTTGATCGGAGCAGAAAAGAGAAATGCGAAACCGTTGAAGCTGGAGAGAAAGTAAAGCGTAAAGAAAGAAAATGGATTGTTGGAGGCTGGCCGGGTTCATACAAACTACTTCTTAGGTGAGGACAGAGAAATACCAAGAGACGTTCCTGTTTGCACTATCACAAAAGGAAAACAGAGGCGTTTTAACGTCAAACTCGGCGATAGGTACAGCGGGAAGAAAAGTCATTACTAAGACGAAACAAGATCGAGTGAAACCGAAAAGGTGGGACCGGCTCTGCTCGAAACGTTTTGACGAGGAGACGACTATGACTAGTACTATCGACAACATTTCATAAGTAGCTCGTGGTGTATGATGCAGAGACGGATTAAATGGCAAAGAGGAAAAATGAAAGATCCTTGTTAAACAACACAGAAACATGAAGGGGAAACGGGAGAAGCACAATATAGCAGACACGTGCAAATGGTGATTGTAAGCACGGTATGTGTATTTTGAATGTCTGTGCATCAGTTTATCAACAAACAATTCCGATACCAATTAAAACCATGTTCCATTATTGTATTTGCACCAGAAATGCAATTGGAAAGTACATAATTCCATATATGGGTAAGCAGAAAATGTGCCAGCTAATAAAACGCTCAACTTAATGACATGAAGATATTTGTTTAACTGACTAAATCATTTACATCTATGGAAACCAAAACCCATGTGATGCGTCCTAACTGCAGCAAACAGCCTGATGAAACCAAGCAAGTACGATAAAGTTGAGTTGCAACACTCCTTACAGTTTACCAGGCTGCTGTGTCTCGCACAGCTGAAGATTGTGTTACAACAGTCCCCGAACACGATTCAGTGAGATGAAATCTGTGGTACTGCCAAACAATATTGAGGGGACAGAACTTCAGAATTACACCAGCTATTCCATCAAGCGACCAGAAAACGCAAGGATACGCAGGCGGCATGGTTTCATCAGATGGACAAACCTACAGCATGCCTTCCAACAACATTCCGAATGTCATGGAAGCTGGACCGACGACCACCTGAATTTCCATGAGTGACTAAGGAATTAAAACACCATCAAGAGTAATAACCATTCATAACATGAAATACAACAGAAATTGCTATTGTTTCATCCAGTGACAGGTCATGACTGATTCCAGCCGGAGACAGAGACTAGGTCAAACAAAAATGGTGTTTGCGTTGACATCACTGCTGGCGAAACGAGGCACTTATCAGGCTAACTAGCAATTAGATCGACTAAAAAGTCAATTAGATCGACAAAGATTCCGACCGAGATTCTATTGTGTTCGTGCAACGGAAAAATATCTGTTTTGTTAAACTAATTACTACGCATTAATCTTCCAATTGCCTGAAACACAAACCACCGAAACCGAAACCGTGCCACAGTCTGATCATATGACGTAGACGCCAACATGCGGTGCCGGAACATGAGAGTTCCCACCAGTTCAGACAACACAAAATGCAATTTTACTAAAAATTATTCACGAAAAGAATTTACCAAGAGTGGTGAAGAAGTCCAGCTAGAGTTACAGCGTGTGACATAAAAGGAATCTCCTTGTTCTTCTAGCCAGAGGACTATAGGAAGAAACCATGAGTTTCAAGTTAATAACTACTTAATATTCCACAAGTGCATATATGGAAATTTATGAAGATCAACATTTCACTGATTTTGCACAATGAAGAACTAATTGTGTTTTAACACACGTGGCTTCCCTCAAGCCCGCGGTTATTATAAGGGGTTGGTTACGTTAGTGATGGGTCGCAAAAAAAGGAAGCAGTTGAAACCGTGGTGCTGGTACGACAAACATATATTGTAAAGTAGTCTGTAGGTACTGTAATCGGGAGTTTGATGATGAGAAAATCTTGATTCAGCATCAAAAGGCGAAGCACTTCAAGTGCCCGTACTGTCACAGAAAACTTTTTACTGGGCCAGGTCTGTCAATTCACTGCAATCAGGTAAGTCTTGCTTCAGTCAGGTGCTAACGGTATCAAGGTTCATAAAGAGAAGTTGGACAAAATCCCAAATGCTCTTCCGAACCGGACGAGTACAGTCATTGACATCTACGGCATGTCTGGTATACCCGAGGTGGATATCATAGAGCATGAAAGACAGAAGTTCGGTTATGAAGGCGAAGAAGAACCACCCGAAAAAATGGCTAAGGAAGATGAAAGTGTGCCGTTCTATCCACCGCCACCTATACACCCCCCACTTCCATTCATGTCAAATCTCTGTCCCCCTGTTCCTCCATTCAGTCACATGGGATGTAAGTTACAGTTATATTGTCACTCATATATTTAGTGCATGGTGTTCCTCTTCCTCCGCATATGAAGTAAGTACTTTTGGGAATAACTTATTTTTAGCTCAATACCCTACGTACCCCCGCCGCCACCACCTCCACCTCCAATCCCAGCACCTCCGCAGCCAGCGACTCCAAATGAAGAACAGGTAATGATATCTCTCTCACTATATTGTTTAGTCTCCTCCGACAACTCCCAAAGCCACTTTCCCGGCGTATTCATCTCCATCAAACAATGCAAAGACACCTGTATCCAAAGTGCAAAAACCTGCCCCTGGAACAAATGGAGCTGTGATAGAGTTGGTTCATCCTGAAGATGATTTGTCTCTTGTAAGTTAGTATTATATTACATGCATATTTTTCAGGAAGAAATTAGGGCCGAACTGCCGAAATACAAACGCATTTTAGAAAATGCAGCCCAAAAGCCAGCACCAGCTACATCAGTAGCTCTAACGCCTGCGCTACCTGCTCCACCTTTTATACCTTCACAGCCACAAGTTGTATACCCCGCAATCGCCCCTCCAGTTTCTACGCAAATCCCGTTCGGTTACAATCCTGGTTTTATCCCACCAGGTAGGTTAATCTTTACAAATCCGTGTAATATTACAAAACTCACCTTAAGTTGTTTAGAGGACAGGTGGTATATTGAGACTTTAATGGAACATTTAGCTGGTTCACAGATCTAGCGTTTTAGGTCACGGCAATTCGTGATCACCTAGGAAGCTCAACGCGTAAAACAAACAGGATAAACCAAAAGCTTCCGAATTGGTTAGACATTCAGGTTGTGTTGCTGGCTAGAAGTAATGGAATGTGCCGTTAAGATTTGGTGTAGATATCGCACGTTTATGTGGTCAGACGCTTAAAATATTCGTGTACCGGTCCGTAACAAATAGTGTTTAACGTACTGGATACCAAGATGTTCTATGGGCCTCAAGAAATATAATTAGTTTTCACAGAGTAGGTTAGATTGGGTAATCTTGTGACCCATCTATAGCGTTCGTCTCCTGTCGTAAGGCATCTGGAAGATGCTATCGTGGCCTGCTTGAACCAACTTGGAAAATACATGGATTGATGGCGGTATTCGATTACCACGAAACACCTTCACTTATTGATGATTTGCAGCTGTCAAAGGGGACTATCTCAAATCCTCACACTATTTAATATCTTAGCTAAATCAATCAATCATCGCCCCTGTCGTACTGTCAGATTCACTGCTCTGCCAGTCCTAGATTAGAGGCAGTGGGATGGCCATCATCCACAACTCACTCAGGTAGTTGTTAGATCCCGGACTCAATTGAAGTGACTAAATCGGTTGAACAGTTCCCCATAGAGTTCACTTAAAAGTCTCAGGCTTCTGTCGTCGAAGGTGGCTGTAGTGTCGTTCTCCTCGGAATCTTATCATTTACCATGTCTTTTATTACTAATCGACCGAAGTTTTGTGCTTTCTTCCACTGATGACTTTAACACGTCATTCAGTGGTCACTGTCTTTGCTGAGATTTCAAGCAGCTTTCATTAGAGCAGTTTTCACCACTCGTTATGTTCAAAGCTTTCGGAATCAGTCTTGCGACATATAAAGCTGATGCTTGTGAATCCTAAGTCACGTATCTGCGTGTGTGAGTATCACGTTAACATATGTCTGTGTGAATGTACAATCCATTAATTCTAGACACTTTTCATTAAGTACCTATTGGGGAAGAGAATGTTTTCCTTGAGCTAGTGAAATCTAAACCACTGAATTTTTGTTTAGTGTTTTTCTAGTAAAGTAACAGTGCTGATACTATATCAAGAATTATTTGATCTTGATGGATGACTTCAAATTGAAACATATGTGACAAATTGTAACGTTACGTTAAGTGAAGAAAAACTTCCTTATTGTACTTGTGTCTAAGAGGGAAATGTGTTATTACACTTGAAATTTATTTGGGGTTTCTATCACAGTAGTATGTAATCGTATTACAAGATTATATCGCTGAATTCCGAATACTTTTAATAAGCTCCAAAAAAAGTTGTTGGTTCTTGACAGTTGAGGAACCTGCTGCTTTTTGCTACGTGTAGTAAGACAGCAGCTTCGGTGAGGTAACTTTCCAAACGACAAATTAGTTTCTACCCCGTGGAAGTTTCTCAGCAATTCCCAGTCATATACAACGTGGATGAGGAGACATTGGCTAAAATAGTCGATTTGTCATCGAAAAATATCAGGTAACTGTCGTGTTTCCCAAGATATAGTGTATTTGCTATTTCGAAGTACACGCATTCTTGATTTCAAAAGATTTTTTCTGCTTAATTTCAGTATTTGGCATGCCGACAATGCAACCCCAGATCGCACCAACACCAGCTCAACTTTCTCCATGGTCAGGAATACCTCAGTTGCGGTTTTGATGCAAGTCATTCGTGCGTATGTTAATTATTATTATTATTATTTCCTTTAGTTCCTAGAGGAACATAGGGCTTCAGCCACCCGTCTCCATTGCGTTCGGTTCTCTGCTAGAGTCTTCACCTGACTCCAAGTCTGCCCACACGTTTTCAATTCTTCTTCACATGATCTCCTCCAAGTCACCCTTGGACGACCAACTCGCCGCTTCCATTTCGAGTTCCACTCGAGCAATGGCTTGTCTAGTGATGTCACTTGATGGTTTCCTGAGAGTATGACCAATCCATCTCCATTTCTTCCTGCCTATTTGTTTTACAATCGGTTCCTGCTGTATTGGTTCGCTCACAGAGATCCCTTCCTGTTGCTGATTCTTTCTGGCCGGCCATCTGATCTTGATTATTGAGCGAAGACATCTGTTGATGAAGGTCTGTAGTTTGTTTGAGGTGCCTTTTGTGACACGCCAAGTCTGATCCGTATAGTAGTACTGACTTCACATTGGAGTTGAAAATCCCGATCTTATTTTTGACGCTGAATGCTGTTGACCTCAGCACAGACTTGAGAGTAATGGAAGCTTGCCTTGCTTTCCCGATCCTTGCTTTGATATCCTCGTCAGTTCCGCCTGTAGTTGAAACAATGCTTCCCAAGTAGGTAAAAGAGGTTGTTTCTTTCAGGTTCCTTCTATCTATGCTGATTGTTGCCTGTTGTTGTTGTTGCTGTTGGTGGTGTTGGCCAGGAATCTTCATCACCTCCGTTTTCTCTATGTTCACCTGCAGTTCTATCTTCGATGCTTCTTCTGCCAACTTGTTACTTTTCACTTGCATATCTTCCAGTTTGTGGGAAATCAGACATATTTCGCCGGCGAAGTCCAGATCCTCCAAGTTCTTTGTGTGAGTCCATTTTATGCCTGTTTCCTCATTGCCCGCTGTCTGTCGCATTATCCAATCCACTGCAATCAGGAAAATCATTGGCGATAGTAGGCAACCCTGTCTTACTCCTGTCTTCACTTCGAAGGATTCCGTGAGGTTCCCGTTGTGGATTACTTGGCATGCAGCGTTGTCATACAACCGTTGGATGAGATGTATAATTGTCGGCGGCACCCCGTAGTAGCGAAGTAGTTGCCAAATCACCTCTCGATCGACGCTGTCGAAGGCCTTTTCGAAGTCGATGAAGTTGAGATAGAGAGGTGCGTATGTTTATGTGATACTAAAGATCTCTCATGCTTTTGCTTCACTCTTCATCCTACCCCTAGTGATACAGCGATATTTCCCTGCAAAACTAGTTTTATTGTTTTTACAGTTTGACATTGTTCCGTGAAACAACCCAATGGTCTCCTTAGCATAACCCGAAAAGTTGCCACAGGCGTGTCTCACCAGGTGATGGGTTGTTCTTCATGTCTTTTGAGTCTCAGGAGACTCGTACCGTTTTAGGTTATCTAACAGTGTGCCAACGGTGTATAAAGGTTTGCACTTAGCAGCAGTAAATGATAACTTTAGCCGAGCATGTGGTAGCTGGGATCTTGTTTCCTTGAGACCAGAATGAGAACAGCTGTTTGTGTGAGGAAGGTAATGTTTTCAACCCAATCGTCCTTTATTAAATCAAGACCCCAAATTACGTTTAACTGCAAAACTGAAAAAGTACCGTCATTGACTTCCTGTATCTACAACGCAACTTCCTTATCTTCAGCAAAGCTATGGAAAAGTTTTAAACACGGGCGAGTACATCAGGTAAAGCATGATCTATGTCATGGGTGTTTAACCTTTCGTTGGCTATCGCAATGAAGTGATAAAATTTAAAGATATCACACTGCCAGACAGGCTTTGGAGATTTTAAGAGTAATGTCTAGTCGGTAGACTCATGTCCTACTTTCGTTGAGTGTCTGTTTATAATTCTACTGCTGGCTATACAAAAAGATATAGTGTATTTGCTATTTCGAAATACACGCATTCTTGATTTCAAAAGATTTTTTCTGCTTAATTTCAGTATTTGGCATGCCGACAATGCAACCACAGGTCGCACCAACACCAGCTCAACTTTCTCCATGGTCAGGAATACCTCAGTTGCGGTTTTGATGCAAGTCATTCGTGCGTATGTTTATGTAATACTAAAGATCTCAATTTTAAATGACTCGTAGATCATGTGTTGTACAATTAACTTTCACAATGTTTATGGTGAACAAACTTACTTTGCGTCTCTTGTTTTCTTTTGAAGTATTCTGGAAACAATGTAAGTCAAACTAATGCTGTATGTTTGCTGGTAGGTGTTTGTATGTGAATCAAAGGAAATATAATTCTACTTCAGTGGAAAATTCTTTTGTGGACAGAAAGGTGAGATTCAATTTAACTATTAAACATAGAAGCGTATATAGATGGTAGAATCTCTGCTCACTACCTTATATGTTGCATACACAAGCACGTAGCACAAACGGATTTTAGAAGCTGCAATGCCACTGTCTTGATGTCAAGGTAGGTTTTAATAATTATAAAGGATAGGGGTAAGTAGAATTGTTTTATTTCATTGTGATTTGGTGGGTAGAATTAGTCCCTCCAAGAAAAGAATTTCGTTGCAGTGCATCTGCACTATGTGGAAGGCTAAATTTTAGTGCCTTACGAGACCAAAACTGTAGTAGTCTTTGTATGGACGTGTTGCTTCAGTAACTAACTCAACTCTTAAGATTTCTTAAAACAAGCGGTGTCCAGTAAGTGGTTGAGATTACCTATTGTGACGACAGGATAAGTTAACCTGGCGATTCAACATTTCGTGGTTTTCAGTAACCTCGGAAATAAAATATCCAGTGCGATTTATACATTACCATTGCTTCTAGGATTCTTATTTGAATTTTGACAAATTTGGGGGCTAATTCCGTTTCAGTAGCCAGTGTTGGTCGATGTGACGCTTCCTTTCTCCATTCACTTGAAACAAAGGAGCTATGAGAATAGTTCAATGGAAGATATATTGGGTCATTTGGAAAGTTGTTAAATATGTGCATTGAAGTAAAGCAGGTATTCGTTAGTGTGTGTGCATAATAAGTGGTAGACTTTATTTTAGTTTTTGTTGTCTAGTGTCTTGGCAATAGGAAAAAGCATTGTTTCTTATGTGAAAGTTTAAATTATAATAATACACATAGTAGCCAATAGAGTATCAACTAACCATAGCGAAATTCCGCAGAAAATTCAAAATCATTTAAACCTAGATGACCATGTAGGTTTGAATGATCCTTAGTTTTGTGGAATTTCCCTAATCATATGAGGAAGTGTCTGCACAATACTCTTGTACCTTCTCATTTGGCACCTAAAATGATACGAGCTACTTAATTTTTGTCTGTAGTGGGAATACGTTGGACATGTTGATTTAGTCTGCTTCTCCTTGTCCTACTTGGCTTGACAGTTTAGCTTCTCCTGCGTTTTGAAATAGCAATATACTGTGAATCTTCCAGCGACTACCGGTCATTTTATGCTTGGATAGTGTCAGACTCTTACACTTTAAGGCAAGTTAAAAGTCGTTCATCATTTGTTAAGTAAAGTTTTATCTAATGCCATATGCATTTCTGTTGAGTTGATTCATTTCTTCCCTAAATGTACTTCTTAAAAAGTCGCATTTGTTCAGATAAGCAGCACAAATTTTCTCCCTTATTTTGTTAAGATACAGTTTTGGGTGTTCAAGTATTATCTTGCATTTCCGAACGCTTTTTCCCTCAGTGTCTTTAAATGTGAGACCAAACTGAAGTCGTGTAGTAAGTCGACTGGTTGAAAGCTTCACAGTGAACGATTGCGTGAAATTCATCTGAAATGTTTGGTATAACTGTTCTTGATAATTTCTTGTGATAAATCTATTGTACATTTTTGCAACAATACAAATGCGAATAAAGAGCTTTGTCTTTTAGCTTGACTGCGCGGAACAAGCAGTAGATGATCAAGAAGCGTTCATTACAGCATTCAATTTAAAGAAAACAACTTACCATTGTTTTCGTAAGGCAGCATTATCAACAAATAATAGACACCATGAGTCTCGTCATGTGAACATTCAAGGTTGAAAGGTGTTGAGTACATTGGTTATTCATGCTCACTATTGATAGCGTCTGGATATTACATCATAACGCAAAATCTGAATACTGATAAGCATGTGTATATCGTTTTCAGGCTGAGCGCACGTGTTCCAGCCGATGCGTGTTGCGTGCATTCAAATGTTGGTCGGTATGCGAACCAATACGTTTTTGGTCGTAGGGAACTCGAGTTGAAATTTTCCTAGGGTGAATCGACTGAAAGAAATGGCCCAAGTGTGATGTATCATGCTTTTGCTTCACTCTTCATCCTACCCCTAGTGATACAGCGATATTTCCCTGCAAAACTAGTTTTATTGTTTTTACAGTTTGACATTGTTCCGTGAAACAACCCAATGGTCTCCTTAGCATAACCCGAAAAGTTGCCACAGGCGTGTCTCACCAGGTGATGGGTTGTTCTTCATGTCTTTTGAGTCTCAGGAGACTCGTACCGTTTTAGGTTATCTAACAGTGTGCCAACGGTGTATAAAGGTTTGCACTTAGCAGCAGTAAATGATAACTTTAGCCGAGCATGTGGTAGCTGGGATCTTGTTTCCTTGAGACCAGAATGAGAACAGCTGTTTGTGTGAGGAAGGTAATGTTTTCAACCCAATCGTCCTTTATTAAATCAAGACCCCAAATTACGTTTAACTGCAAAACTGAAAAAGTACCGTCATTGACTTCCTGTATCTACAACGCAACTTCCTTATCTTCAGCAAAGCTATGGAAAAGTTTTAAACACGGGCGAGTACATCAGGTAAAGCATGATCTATGTCATGGGTGTTTAACCTTTCGTTGGCTATCGCAATGAAGTGATAAAATTTAAAGATATCACACTGCCAGACAGGCTTTGGAGATTTTAAGAGTAATGTCTAGTCGGTAGACTCATGTCCTACTTTCGTTGAGTGTCTGTTTATAATTCTACTGCTGGCTATACAAAAAGATCCGACACTGCAGTAGTGGGATGATTCCCTAATTTACTATACGACTCATGGTCTATGTTGATGTCCTACAGTATCCTCACATCCACTTTTGATAGTACTGTTATTCAACTAAGCGGTGGTACGGGATGTCAGTTAAAAAAAGACAGGCCGCTTCACTCGTGGATGGTGTACTCTGAGAGATGTTGAAGAAGTTATATTGTTTCCCAGCTTCTGATTCAATTAGTTTGAAAAAGCCACAATGCTTACTCGAAATCTGATAGAATGGGCTGACAATCGATTGAAACTGTGCTGCAGTGCCCTTATGACATTTGACCTTCTCTGGGTATCCACGATATTAAGAACAGAACTTGTGCTATGTGGTAAAGTGTAGTTCATTAGTACTAGCCGATGATGTTTGAGTACATTTTATCGTTGCTCATAATCATATCAACCTACTCATTCAACTTCTTGACTTCGATTACATAATCCCATTACTTTTCATCGCTGGACTTGATCGGATCATTCCTGTGGTACGTGTTGGGTGTCGATTCTATCAACAAAGATCCAGTATTCAACCAACCTATATTACTTTTTAGAATTTTAACCCTCTGCCACCCTACTGTGTGGTTGAGCGTTAATGCATGCAGTGCAATCGATGAATTATCTATCTTCGAGCGGTCAACCATTCTTACCTTAGCTAAATTCTTATGTTCCCACAATCTGACTACCCCCCCCCCTCGTTATTTGACCTATGTAGTTGACTTAATTCACAGTCATTGCAAGGTATTTCGTAAATTATATTTTGTCCAACTCGGTCCTTTAACTTAGAGCTTTTCTCAGTCAATTTGTACGTCTAAATGCCGCTCTAATTCTTGCTTTACTGAGAATCATACGAGGGGTCCCAGATAACCCCTCCTTATATGGTTAGGACATGTGTTACGTATGCCTAGTCATCGCCTTCCTCGACGGGCAATGTTAGCTGATATAAGGTCAGGCTGAAAAAGAGCTAGTGGTGGTCAAACGAAAACATGGCATCAGTCAATGAAATCTACAGCAGTCAGTTTAAGCCACGTAGGACGGCGTAGACCTCCTGGTTGGGGTGCTCGGGACAGTAAAAACCAATGGTTGGAAACAACTGGTGACATGGCTCAAAATCGTTCTCAGTGGCGCAGATGCATCCACTCCTTGTGACTTATGATTTCCAAATAAACTGTTTTGTTGTCCGTTATTACTATTCATTTGTCTTACACCTCTGTTTACTCACTATATTATGCCTTTCTTCTCTTGCTTTGTGTACTACATGGAGTGTGGCGACTTAAACTGCCGCACATATGTGCAAAGTTCTGTGTCGAAGACTGACCGATATGGTAAAACTGTAGGCCTTATATTCTCTTACTTATGTTATCATTATGAGTTTCTACACTACTTTTATTTTGACCTTTTCTAATCTTAATGAATCCTATAGGATAGTTAATTGACACCAACGCCTCTTCTATCTGTTTTATTTCATCACTAAGGTCTTCTTGTACTACTTAGTCCTACTGCTCGGTTTGTTGGACACTTTACTAAGTCAGTTTTAACAGGTAACGGATGAGATGAATTAGTCAAAATATCCATTAGCAGAATGCGTTGGCTTTTTGTCAACGCTAGTGTGCAGTTTACTTTCTGTTCGTTTTCTTTTACACTGTAACATAGCTAATTGTCCTTGTTCATTTTCCGATTCGAATGTGGATTTTATTCCCTTTACCAGTGAGTTTATGTGTGTCAAGAAGTTAGAGATATGTTCTGTTTTAACACTGTGAAAGTGTCATCCACATATTTCCACCATATTTTTGAAGTAGGATTGTATGTAATAAGAGCTATATTTTCCGAAGTGCCAAAAATATATCTGCTACGATAGGGGATATTGGTGATCCATCCTATTGATACACCTTTTGTTTGTCTGTATATTTTGTCCTGGAATTTAAATACAGTAGATTTGAGGCAGCTTCGTCCTATGAGTAAGTTGGAGATCAGAAGTTAGTTCTCTTTTAACCGCTTCTAAGGCCATATTGATAGGTATATTAGTGTACAGACTAGTTATAAAAAAACTAACCATTGTTTTCTAATTGAATGTCATTTAGTTTCTTTTTCATTTCATATGAATTGGTTAGTCTAGAGTTTGAACGGTATCCAATGGGACAATATTAGAGCTGTGTTTTGGCAATTCATAAGTGGGGGTATTCCTGGAATCTATCATCGGTCGTAGTATGGGGTTCCCTGGTTTTTGTATTCCGATAGGTACGATATATTCAATGGGTATCCAAGTGGACAGTTGCATGGTTTTCGCCTGCCTATTCTCAACACACTTTGAAGTATTTGTTGGTTACGTTGTATGGCGTAAATATTATTATGTTCGCTGAATACTTAAGTTCTCTCATGCATCCAGCATGAAGAGTAGGTACTCTACTGCACGAGTTACACCGATTTATGCAGTTTAGATGTTGTTTATTTGTTTTAGGGTTTTGCAAACTATGCGGCTTAACACTCATGAACATGTTAACCACTTCCATAAGTTAAAAAGACTAGTGTCCGAGAGTAGTAGTAATCATACCAACTAAATTATTCACTGTTATGTGGAAATTAATAAAAATATGAGAACCCCGTGTGTCCGTTAGTCAAAGGGCTAAAAACGACAACGGCTCTGATTAGAATAGTGGAGCAACAAATTAATAATAAGTAACAAAAATAATAAATAGTTGGATTTGCCTTATATTTTTACAAGTGTGTTATTGTGTTTTGACGAAGTTGAATGCTATTGATTGTTCTGTTGTGTGTATATAAAAGGTTCTTGAAGTGGTGCAGTACATAACCATCTTCTTCGAAGATAAAGAATTTTGGCAAATAAGATTGATCCTCAACCTTGTTCTGGTAGCGTGCCAGTAGAAATTCTGCTTCTAGTGGATGTATTGTTCCAGGTATTATTATGCTGTGTGGTGGACCACCAAAAATAACTTCAGGGTTATTTAAGTTCATTCGAGCCTTGTATACATCGCTTATTCTTGAGACGATAATTTTTTGATCATCAGATCCTATTCGTGAAAGACTGATGACGATGCAAGATTTTACTATTGGATTTGCCCATTCCAACAGATCTTCACTTTTTTTGTTTAGAGCTTCTACTATTTGATACACAGCCTCGAAGCAGTTCATGAAGCGCGGAGGTTCAAATATTTTTCGATCACGCAGAAGGTTCTCCAGAGTTCTTTCTTTGACCTAGAAAATATGATAATTGTTCACCATGTATTCCTGCATATATAAGGTTTAATTTAATTAGGTTATCATACTTTCACAATAAGGGATACACACTTTATGAGAATTACTATTGGCAAGAACGAGATTATAAAATAAGTTGCTATCACCAGGACTTAGTTCCTAAAACATTTTATGTAGCAGGTTATAAGTCACATGTTACGCGGGCTGACTACACAAAACTACCCAAGCAGAAGTGGAGACGGCCTGAAAACAACTCCCAGTGTTTGACACAGGTGGTTGAGTCAATGAGTAACACCTGCGCTTTAACCGGTTGTACATGCAAGCTCTTTTTGCAACCATTGTTCAGCTATTCAGCTGACGATTTATGTCGAGTTTCCAGCCTTTATTTTTGAAAAAACAGCATTAATGTTATTCATTGTATGCAGTGCAGTAAGATATGGGCCCCTGGAGTGATTGATACTTCGACCAAAAACGGTGCTTACAGTCATTTTAATGAGATATAATGAGGCAAATTAGCCACCAGTAAGTCGTAGATTTAGAAGAAATTTAAATGAATTCTGCTTTTGATGTGTCACGATACACTATACAGGCTGTAAGATATACTACGATATTTAAATTAAGCAGTGTGCAGACATTTATAGCGAGACGGTATCACTCCACAGTTTCTATAAAATTGTCTCAAAACTTGCATACTTGAAGACAATAAAGTGTTTTACCCCTCAAAGTGATTTTTTATTGATGTCTATCTTATCACATAATCAAAAACTGTCAGACAATGTATGATGCCTTATTTTAGCTACTTTGAATTTTCAAAGTGAAGACGATATTCCAGTTCGCTCTTCTGTTCCCTCCACAAGGAATTGGGTTCCTTAAGAAATGCACGTCCAGAAAAGTACCCTGTGCCTGTTAAATTGATGAGAAGTAATATTAGCTAGCAAATATCATGCAGAATATTGTGTAATTATGTAGACTGACTATGAAATATTCACGATGTCGTTTTAATTTATGATGGATGTCCATTATGAATTTCATAAGACTGATAATAATAATCACAGCTTTATTCCAAACAATACTTTTGGTACTAGTATGGATTTCTCAGCATGTAGTGGAACAGTGTTGCATTCGACTTTCTCATTACAGAGGTGATAATTAAGACAGAGCATTCATATCGATAATATTGTTCAAAACGAAAGTGAATAAACGATTAATTTTAACAACAATGAAAAAATGGAGCTGTTTGCTTAGAGTTCCTCATTAAGTTCCCTGCCTTACACTTTTCTTGCCACATAAAATATGTGCCTGCCAACTTAGGTACTTAGTAGTCCGAGCACACAGACTTCTATAGTTGCTTCCAGTTCAACCTGATGAGATTCGAGGTGGCATCTTACCAATCTTCACCCCACTTAGTTACAACTTTGATTATTAATCACACATTTTAACTTCTTCATTATTTTGATGATATAATCAACAACCCACACTAACTGTTATTTTGATTTTGACAAACCTAATGTACACACACACACAAAATTATTGTATATATATTTGCGACTGTACAGCTAAGTGAATGACTTAGCCGAAAAGAGACTCTTCGCTGAACTAATTTGTTCTTATTTCAATGTCTTAATGGGTATATTTCGCGAATTAAAGATAATATTTGCTAATTTATTGCAGGAGTCTTTATGCGTGTCTACAACAGTAATAACGAGTTGGGTTAGCAACACCCCACTCGCCCTACTGCCGGCTTACGATTAAACGGACATAAAAAATTGTTGGCAACGAAACAGTTACGTCTCCAACTAGATCGAGACTCTGAGTCCCCATTTAAGGAAGAAATACCGAAACGAGTATCTGAGGTCGACAGCAGGACTTCCCCTGAGGTAGTCTGGCACAACATACAGTTAGCTGTAGACACAGCTGTAAAAGCTGTTACTAACCTGAAACCTAAAGTTAGCAAGAGCCATTGGATTCCTACCACCTCATCCGAACTGATTGACGCAAGAAGACTGATTCCAGTGAGCTCCAATTATGAGAAGGAGCGAAAGCTGCTCAAACGAAAACTAACAAGAAGCCTCCGTAACGACCGTGAACAGTGTTCGGTGACAAGAGTTAGAGATGGAAAAGGCAACTATTTAGACTTATCAGAGAAACAGGTGGTGAAAGGCAAAGAATAAGTAAAACATTCTCTGAGGGAAATGGCACCATAATTAGCTCCCAAGATAGACCGCTGGAAAGAACACTGAGGAGCGATTCAATTGGCCTACGGCCACGTTCAACTTACCGAACATTCAACACCTCCCTAAAGGGGATACAGACACAGGTCCTCCATCTCTATCTGAGGTTACTAAGGCTGTCACTAGTCTGAAACGAAGCAAGCAGCAGGACCGGACGGATTGACTCCAGAGGTATTTAAGTACGCTGGAGACAGTTTACTGTCTGCGTTAACTGAGGTACTAGAAAGCGTCTGGGAATTAGAGAAAGTCCCATTAGGTTGGTGCAAGTCATTGATAATCCCGACAAACAAGAGAGACAAGTCTTCTTGTGATAATCACAGGGGGATTAGCTTGACTAATATGGTGGTATCTAATAATGCGCAGACTAAGTGGTACTCGGGAGGCACAAACACGGGAGAAACAGACAGACTCTAGACCAGGAAGAGGGTGTATTAATCATATCTTCACCCTTCGACAGATTCTGGAACATAGGCATATTACCGGCGGCGTCCAACAGTCGTTATATTTCTTGACCTAATGGTGGCATTCGATTTTGTCGACCTAGTGGTACTCTGGCGATGTTTGGTCGAGAAGAGAGTGCCGAGAAAATACATTGCACTGGTCACGGCACTCTACTCGAACTCATGCAGCCAGCCAGGTGAGCTTACGGCGAGTTGTCATCTGAAGTGGTGACAACTAGTGGTGTCCATCAGGGATGCCCACTGTCCCCGTTTCTATTTAATTTCATCATATATCTACTAATGGATTTAACCTTAAATTTAAGATGATGCTAGAGGACTGGAATACATTGACTCCTGGCTTAGAAATAGAGTGAAGTGGTAGAGCATGTTGACCGCTTCACTTATTTAGGAAGTCGCATCAGCCAGCTTACAGGAAATGTAAGCTGAAATAGAGTCAGGTTGGAAAAGAGCCAGTGGTGGTCAAGCCAAAACATGATTGCATCAGTCAATGTAATCCACAACAGTTAGTTTAAGCCAGCCACGTAGGAAGGTGTAGACTTCCTGACTGGTTGGGGTCCTCAGGATAGTAAAAACCAATGGGTGGAGACAATTGGTGATATGACTCCAAATCGTTCTTAATGCCTGGCGCAGATGCATTTACTCATTGTGACTTATAATACCCTGTTTACTGTGTCTATTTTGCATTTCTTTTCACTTTCTTCTCTCGTTTTGTGTGCTACATGGAGTGTGGCGACTCGAACTGCTGCACATCGGTGCAAAGTTCTATGTTGAAACCAGACAGTCACAGCTTTTAGTGACCTATGCAGTATAACAAAGTCTTTCTTAAGTAGCCCAGGGGAGCAATAAAGAAGGATAGGCAGAACACACGCGTTAACAAACTTAGAAGCTAGAGACTGAGTGATACCAAATAGTCTTAACTTTCTTATGCAGAACGTCAGACGAAATATCTTTCTGGGAACTAACGTGATGTGGGGAGACCAGGAAAGATAAGAGGATATAAATAGTCCAAGGTATTTAAAATTCGATTTTATTTCAACTTCAGTGCCATCTATGATAGTGGAACCATGTGAACTAACCAGTTTACATGAGCAGAGAATATTCTTTTAGATCTCTTCATCAGGTTCTACATCTATATATTCACAGTAGCTGAGGAATAATTGTTACTGACATGTCAGTTTAACAGTACCGGTTTGGCGTGTTTCTTTTGTCCGCAACGTTACGGTTGCTCTAAGCGAATTGCTACGGATTCTGATGTTTAGAGTATGCAAAGTCCACAGAAGCTTGACAACTTACCTAATAACTGATAGATGATAGAAAGAGATTTTTCGATGATTATTATTCTGCCGAAGTTATAGAAGAGAGTATGCTTTATTCAACAATTCCAACGTCACCGAAAAATATTTCCAAAGCTACAGAATACTGGCTAAATGAAGAAATTAAGCATTGGATGTGTCACTTGCTTAACTTTCACCATCGTGAATACCGTTTAAACACAAGAATATACAATGTTATGATTGAACACCTCGAACAACACCAACTTGAGATACTAGTGTGGGAAAACTCACTGATCCAGCAAACCCTAAATATGCGTCGGTGGCACAGTGAATAGGACTCTCGTCGACCATGCACATGGTCCGGGGTTCGACCACCTGCAGACGCACACCTGATATCTATGGTCGGCCTGCAAAATTTGGGCTAACGATATCACATGCTGAAAATTCCATACTTGTACCAAAAATACTGTGTGGTTTCAAGCTATAATCAAAAAATCAAAATCTAGTATTACAAAATACGACTGATGTGAGGCTTTTATATTATTTGCGCATTCAAAATTTTTGTGTCTGAATGGAACAGGACTGGGTGCTTTTTACAGGGGACAGTAAATTTTGTCTTAATTACTTCCATATATCAATATTTGATTTCTGTGTAGGAGGGAGATGAAGATAGGGATTTATGTTTAATTTAGGAAATGTATTGCACTTATTTACACTTAAACAATATTACCATAAAGGCTGCATTGCAAAGTGCTACTGGGATATATTAGACTGAGTTATACACTGATAAGAATAACCTAAAGAGCATAGAAACATTATATCTAATATAGTAAATATCTAACAGTAAATGCTATATATAGAAAAAGAATCATTTTGGCCATATTACCTTTATATCCAGCAAACACAAAGTGTGGAATCCATTCCTCAAATTTTTCAGTATCTTGTCAAAAAAACTCTCTGGACGCCCAAATTCATCCCATAAAGGAATTGATACAGTAATACCAAAATTGTACAGCTGCAGGCCACAGCATCCCACTGCTGTTATAACTGAGGCATTGTGAATTATTTGGTAGGGAATATTTCTTTCAACAGCTCGCAATATAATATCTAAACAATATTAACTTATTTTACACTAACCACTATGAGTAGTTGCTCCCAAAGGGTCACCTATAACTAGGAATGCAACGTCATGCTCCTTCGCTCGATCAAGGATTTCACTACTTTGTTCTACAAATTCTCGATCGGCTGGGAATATACACTTCTCAGCTATCTTTAGTTCATTGATATTTTCTTCAGAGAATATAGAAGTGTAACTATCAAGGTACACATAGTCACACTTTTTGAGTACATCCAAACCTTTGATCGTCAAATCTGAAAATGAGCCTAACCCCAATCCTATTAAATACAACATTATCTCGAAGGGTGTCGATTGTCAGAACTGATAGCGTGCAGTTACACAGACTGATGTATGACCGTAATATCAACCTGAAGAAGAAAAGAATAAATCGTTAAACTAGTGAATAAGTATTATTTAACGCTAAGACTCATGGTATTCACGGCGACACCACATTTAAACAAGAGACTTACATAAAAAGATCTATAATATTTATCTAAAATGGCAGTATGTTTACTACTTGATGAAGTAATGCTACTTTCATGGAATTATTTACCGCAGCATGTGAAACAGTATATTAAACTGACGTGGATGAGAAACAGATACATGGTGAGTGTTGATAGCGCAAGTAATTAAGAACTGAGCAAATGAATACACAACATAATTATGTTTCGAACTCTTTAGTTCTAGTATGCCAAAAGCCAAAGAAATAAGTAAACTTATTTACCTATTGAAACGCCAGTGGATATTTTATGATTTATTTACAATAGGCACTCTTGGTTTAAGGAATACACTACATTTACAACGATAATAATAATGAATGATTGCCAGCCATTATTGCAGTATAAATTCGAACTTGATGAAACAAAGCATTCTAAATCATGATCTACTGAACTAGCCAGAAAATAGTCTAGTACCCTGAATCATCTAAGATCAAACAAAGACGATTGACAATATATGCATATGTAATTCAGCAGACATGGCAATGACGCAAAGTATTGTCTCTACCACAAAAGCAAACAAAGTAAATACTAACTTCAGCGTTTAATATCAAAATGACTGCCGTGATACCAGGGTTACCGACAGTGAAATGAAACGGAAATCCGTCAAGTAATAATTGATGGTATTATGGGTATTATGAAAATAATTGTGCTAGTTACATTCTTTTTGCGGAAATTTAGTAAGGATCGACTTTAAAGCATGTAAATATTCAATATCCATTATGATATCATTTGGAACACCGTGTTTATTTCCTTGAGTGATTCCCAACAGAGGGGGTGGAATGAATGTTTCCATACACAGAGTGCATAGTCCAAGGTAAGAGAAAGTTCCTTAACGTTTAGTTAACAGAGACGTTGAAGTATGTCAGTATAGTGAATATTCTGTGGATATATATATATATATACATATATATATCCAAATACAAACAGCAGCTAACTATATAATATTAAGGCTATAAATTCCATTCATGTAGTTTCAGTACCATTAAATTAGTACAAATAGAGAATTTGGAGAACATGACAGCATCGAAATGTGTATTATTCCCACTTGCTGAAGTGCATTAACTACCTCCTCGAGTCACGCCTCAGTTACCTGTACCGTCCACTTTGAAAAGCGCCAACTATTTAAATAAGAACAAATTAGTTCAATGTCTTAGTTAGTTTCAATGTCTTAATGGGTGTATTTCGCCAACTATTTAAGTTGTCAAGGTAGAGATAATACGGGATAGTAGGCCCTTGTAGCCTATATTACTTCTTGTGATATATATCTCTGTAGAGACCTATTCTGTGTCTCAAAGAGTTCACTGATAGGGCTAATAATATTTAATCGCGTAGGCAGTTACAGTCACTGACCACTCTGTGTGAGAACCTAAAATCACCACGTATTTTATCCTACTATAGTTTGAACATCTTTCTGTACTGACTTCAGAAACGTATACTAGAAGGGGAGCAGACGATAGAAGGGTCGATAACCAACCTTCTTTTGATCTACGACATGACGGAATTAAGTTATGTCCTCTCCGTCGGTATGATAAATGTCTCATCCTTTTCTCGTGAGATAGGTGGCAGACAAAAGTGAGTTATTCACTTTCTTTTCCCGCGCTCTTTCCAAGACTCCTGCCTCCCCCTTAAATCACGGACTAGTAGCTTGTAAACACTTCTATGTGAAGCCTGACGTGTTGCTCAAGGTATTTTAAACAGACTCAACTCAATGATAGAAAGCTCTTCGAAAAGCCTTAAGGGCAGCTGAGTTACAATCTGAATTTATTTACAAATCATGAGTGATAATATTTTCCAAGTCCTAAAGCTCCTTGACTTCAGGCAGTTTCGTATCCCCCAGGGAGTACTACGTGAGAGACCTGTGACTTTAGTGCACTAGTAATCTTCTGGTATAAATTTCAAAGTCCAAGAGTCTGATCATGCAGTTTAGCAAACTGACCCATTATTACCACTATTTTTGGTTTTCCAGATCTTGATATCGTGCATGAATAATAATGAATATGAGGTAGTAATTCCAAGTAGTATATTAGGTATGACAGGAGGCCCGGAACACTACTCTGTGGTACTCTACTCGATACTGATGCCTTTCCCGACAGTTTACCATTAAACTTCAACTTCGGCCTCCTCTCCAGTCGCAGTTCCCACTTCATGGTTCGAACCGTCTGGTTTTCAATATCAGGATACACCTCAGGTTAATACAAAATTGTAAGCATGCTAGATATTTTTACGGTTTTAATAATTTCTCGTCACTTGTCACACTCAGATATACTTGTGAAACATTTAAGCCTGATCAACCATCTGCAACCATTTAACAAGAGTCGAAAACCTATCTACAACCCAATCGTATGGATGCTAGGCATCCATCACTGGACAGTGGAAGAAGGTAAATTCTACGATGGTCTGCATGATGTATGCACGTTATTCAGCTCCCGCCTTACTAGATTCTTTAATAATGAAGATAAAATGAGTGGTATTAATACGATAATATCACCAGCTGACAACTGAGTAATATTACGTTGACATCATGAGAAACTTTGCTAGCTACAGTACCACTCCGTACGTCATTTAATACTGACCCTGTTGGAACCCCATCTGTTCTGTTGAAAATAGTTTGCGAGCATACATCCTTCTAAATCCTTTTGGCACATCCTAGAGATCTGTATGTTCCTCAGTGCATTTAATATAGAAAAATGTCGATTCATCAGTGTCGCGTCGGAATTTTTCAGAACTGTGACAAATGTCACAGGGAAAAACACTGCTTTGTACCCTTACGGTGGCAAGGTGTTTACCTGACACAAAACGACTTCTTGAAATGTAGGTTATACCTCATTTACTGACTAGACTACTTTGGTGGTGATAGTACCAGATAGGTTCGTGTTTTGTTTGTTTTAACCACCTTCCCCGCTTCAAGGAGGCATCAATGAATTCCCACACATAACATTAGCCCATAAACCATAGTTGCATGGCCTCCAAAATACTGTTATCTTGTCTCGAATCATTCTTAGAGTTCCACTTCCAAGTAATAAGATTGTTTAATATCAACCCACCACATAGACTCATATGATCCAGGGTGTTGCCCTGCGCTCCCTCATTTATGTTAGCCATTTCCAGTGCGTGATTTAGCGTGGAACAGAATATGTCTTCACCAACAGCCTTCTTTGTCGGGCTCTATAAGAACGGTTCACACATATCCAAGCCGAATAAGCCATGCAGTATGAATAATGCCTATTAAGTGCCACTTATACCATTAACAGTGGAGTCCTGCACTTAAACACATTTACTCTAACTTCTAGGTGAATTTTCCCAACGAAACACGGATTCCATGAAAAATCTAGTGTTATCTACATAACATTTGCACACTACACATAATCTATTATTTCTAGGTGTAGGAGAAGCAAAAGCCTGCTACATCGCAAAGTCTACACCACCTGGACCTAATTTCTTCTCTACAAAAAACTGTTTGTTCAGTATTCAAGAGCCGCACAATAATCTCCGATCCAATGTGTGGATACAATGGGACCCATGTTGGAAATATAGTTTTACACGGCGCTTGATACGAACCCAAAAAACTTTCGGTACTAGGATAAGTGCATTGAACACGTGCTAAAATCACCGCGGTAAAGATATCAAAGCCTAACCTGACTTTCCGCTGCCGTATTTCATATAGCCAAACTAAAAGCAGTTGTCCTATTGCTTTGAACAGTAGAGCTACGCATTCAATGAGTAATCACTGACACACAAGCCCTATAACTAGATAGTGGAAAAACTGTGTTTATGGTTTCGGGGCAGATGTATTCAGTCTGTGTATGTCTTAATTTAACCACTGTTTTTAGGAGATACTTTGACAGATTTCCCAGAATTTTCGCCCCTCTTACCAGGTGCTACAGCCACTGGACGATAAGAAAATAAATTCCGAGCCAACTGACGAACATTAGAGAGCGCATGTAAATAAATCACGTTAGAGTAAGCAGATGAACAGGATACAGCTTGCAGTCGTCACGCATATGCGAAAAACTTTGTTAATGTTACTGCTATCGGCCTCAAAATTCTGTCTGGTTTCACCTGAAGGCCCCAACGACCCTTCCAGTTGGAAGGAGTGGGCGGTAATCGTAAATAATTCATCAGATTTATTAGCCTACAGCATTCCCCCTTAGTGTTTAAGTCAGCTGATAAAGCTGAAGTTATGCAGTCAAGATCCGGTGTCGCTTGGCGTGATGCTGTGCTGTGTTGAGTTGTTCGTCAACTATCCTTTGGTAGCTGGGACACCGCCATCATTGTATAACTATGACCTAGAAATATATTTAACATTTTGGACCATCAATTCATCCCTGGTTCCACAGAACGAATACCTTAGGTGTTGTAGGTTGAATGCTCACATTTGCATAGAGAGTACCTTGCGTAGTGGCAAAAGTCCTTCGTCAACCGAAAAAGTCCCAGTAAAATATTGGAAAACAACGAAATTTCAGACTTAAGGTCCATGTGAAGGTTATCTTCATCCATCTTCGTAGACTAAATAGGATGGAATTTTGTGTCGCTGCAATTGTTAACGCTAAATTATAGTGGAATTTTTCCACGTATAATTAGTTTTCTATTCTACTATTGGTGGCTACTTAAGTTTTTTGGGAGTTTCTACTGTCATATCAGTTCATTCTAACCACTCTAATTATTTCATGAGTTTTCGTTATTATTCTTTTGCAGTCGTTTTCTATTTCAAAGCTATCTGTCAGAAACTGTTACAGGAAAGATTTGAAATGATACACTGAGTGATTTTCTTAGGGCCTACGTTGTTGAGTGCAGCTGTTTTTCGGTTCCCCTAGCGAGTTCTCATGCTTTGCTAACCGGCTTCTTTTGAAGTGGGAGAGGACACCGTGTTGTGTGTTGAGGTTCTTGGAGCCGTGGCTGACATTTGGGCATGGATAAGTAGTAACAGAAAAGAAGGCCGTTTCATAGTTGCCCTCTCCAAAGCTTATTTATTATTACCATCTTTAGAGCTTTCAGAAAAATCGTCAGGCCTAACCACTTTAAAATCGGCCCCAAGTTAGAGTCAACTTTATAAAATTTTTGAAGATAATCGCTGTATTAACTAGTCGATTATCAGGTAACAAATATGCAATATATCGTGGAAGAACGAAAGCTGAATAAGGCCAAACCTAATTTATTGTATGAACATGTGGAGCATGTTTTGATCTTCCTTAATAAGAGAGAGGATAAAAGCTGTCGCGAGGTGCCTTCATGCCTTGCGAACACTATGATAGATATATCAGCTCCGGACAGTGTAGACAGAAATCCTTTAAAACAGGCAAACGTAACATCTGATATGACCACTTTTTTCCCATGCGGCGTGTTACAAAATCACATAAGCCCAATCAACCGAGGAAATACACATGGAAATCGGCCACTTCCATTCTACTCATTCAGGTAGGATGGAAGAAAAGCGCAGCAAGTTTGTTTAGCTATGACTTATACACTCGCTCCAAAAAAGCCACAAGACTTATATAAACGTACGGAGCGATGAGATGCTACGTTTTCATTGTAGAACATGGAGCAGGAGTGCGACAGTTCACATTGCCACACTCTGTGACACCCATAGGTGTGCGTCGACTGAAGATCGAACCCTGGACCATGTGCATGGTCGGCGAGAGTCCTAACCGATGTGCCACCGACGCATAGGCGACGAGCATATTCCACTTGCAGCAGCTGCGTTTCATCAATGATGGAGACAGAATGCATCGTTAAGCTGTCCCCACATCATTTGATAGATGACCGGATAGCACGTCTACATGTAAGAGATAACCCAAATTGCCACATTTCACGAGAACCTTTAATATTCGCTCAGAGATCTCATCATCAGAAAGCCTGTTCCAGCTGATTCAGTTTCCTAATTGAGTGAAGACACTCCAAAACTATTTACCCTATCTACGTTTAAGATAAGAGTCAGTGTTGACCAACCATGCACCATCATCTTAGATTTTAGATGAGTGAGTTGCTTATGAAGAACAACAACAAAAGTGCTGTTCAGATGGCTGAGACGAGTGTGTTTTGGTAAGCGCACTCATCTAGAAGGACAATATCAACTGAATGCTCTACTATGGTGAGACTGCTAGTTGATACACT